TGATAACAGATGGGTACATTGATAAAATTATTAATAGTTAATACAGATTATGTTTTCGTTCGTCGTGCTTTGAGTGTTGACTCTTGACTGTTGAGTGCCATAATGAGTAATGACTATACGTTTTATTCGTTAATTGTTTTATAAATGTATAATTATTATATTTTATTCATGTGTAGCTCCTGTAAATAGTAAAAATTGTCATATAAAAAACTTTGAAAGTTTATATTCTGTGATCTTATCAATTACACGAATACCTACCAACGTATTTCAATTTTATTTATAAATAATAAATTAAGATGAATCGAAAAATTGATTCTTACTTTAACTCAAATAACAAAAAAAGTGTAAAAGATACACAGGATTATGTCGAATCAGAACAAGCTGAATATATCATTCAAAGTGATGATGAAATAAATTCAAGTAATTATTTTATATATAAATTATATTAAATTATTAAATATGAATAATCATTAGTGGGTATACCTACTCTATTCTGTTTAAGTATTAAATAATAATATAATAAATAAATATTAATTTGTTTTATTCATAGGTATAACATCGAATTCAAGTACATGTAGCAGTGACATCAATAATGACAATAATGGTCCTGAAATAAATCTTGGTGGACTAAAAATTCAAGAAAAACATCAAGAAAAGTCTGTAGCTGGTCCAAGTGATATTACAAAATGTGTAAGTGACAATCCAACTCAACCAATATTAAAAATGTTTCCAAAAACTAAATTTGGTAAACAATGGCGACATTTTCATATCGAATGGTATAAACAATATTCATGGTTAGAATATAGCATAATTGAAAATGCATCATATTGTTTTGCTTGTCGATTTTTTGCATCAGAGTCTGATAATTCGCCTTTTATTAAATCTGGATTTAAAAACTGGAAAAATGCCATAGACAAAGATTGTGGAATTAAAGGACATGACAAATCAATTACTCATATAACATGTATGTCCAAGTGGGACGGTTATAAGCAATCAAGGAAAACAACATCTATTCAAACACAACTTAATGTAGCAAATGAGGCATTGATTAGAGAAAATCGTTATTACATATACAATATTGCTGAAATTTTACTGTTTACTGCCTGCCAAAACATAGCTCAACGAGGTCATGATGAAAGTGAAAGCAGTCTTAACAAAGGAAATTTTCTTGAACTATTAGAATTATATGTAAAAAAAGATAAAAGATTAAAAAATAAAATTGAAAACTTACCAAAAAATGCCAAATATACACATCATTCCATACAAAATGAATTACTTTCAATAATGAGTCAAATGGTATTGCAGTCAATCTCAAATGAATTAAAAGAATGTAAGTATT